CTAGCAACAAAACTCAACTAACCTAGCAGCTACAAATAACTAACCTAGCAACAACAAACAACTAACCTAGCAACAAAACACAACTAACCTAGCAAGAAATAACATAACATAACAACAAAAGACAAATGGTCAATGGTCAACGCCGGAAGTCAACGCCAGAAGTCAACGGCCAACACCGAAAGTCAACGGTCAACGCCAGAGTCAATGGTCAATGGTCATAATAATATTTAAATAATTAAAAATAAAGAATTAAATAATAAAAATAAAGAATTATTATTTAAATCAAGATCTAAATCTTGTGGCTAGGAATGAGTCTCACGTCCTCACTTTAAATAATGGGATGCATTGGAACCAATCCCTATATATATATATATATATATATATATAATTGTTGGCAAGCTTTAATAAAATTTATTTAGCTAGCAATTAATAATAATAGTAGTTCATTTAATAAAAATATGCAACTTTCGGTTACAAGATTTAATTTGACATGCTCCAATTTGGATGGTGCCCATTTCTGTAACTCTTTTTTATGTTCTAAAATACAAAATATTGTTGTTTTTATTTTGATACTATATATATTTTGATATATATAAATACATATTTCACAATTAATTAAGAATTACTACAAATATCTCTATTTTCTATTGCAGTCATACAATAATAAAAAAATATATTTTTTCGGATATTACAAAAGATAAATCAAATATTTTAAAAAATTAAATCCCATGAAATAAAACTCTCCTGCAAAATGGTCCTGCAATATTTAAAAATTTTAAATATTGTATGCATAAATATAACTTATAATACTCTATGTTTAAAATTTAATATCATTATCTAATTTATAAATTTAATATTATATTCATATAAATAAATCATAATATTTTATTTATATTTGTGTAAATGCACATGATCGATTACTAATTTTAATATGTAATTGATATAGGTTAATTTAGTAGATATATAATATTAATGGGTTTAGATGATTATAGGCGGTATATCCTTGTATTATATATAGACTTGGTTATTGTTTCGGATACACTAATTAAATATATATATACAATTTTTTTTTTTTCAGCAGAATTGAGAATGATGGTCCCATAAGAACAAGGCAACTAATTAGTTGGTCTAGAAGCTTAATGGATTCAGATATTTTTAATAATCTTTATGATATAGGAAAGATATTGATTTTCCTATAATTAGGATAATTGTGAATTGAATCTCTGGTGTTATAAATTCCTACATCTAATTTATGCAATTTTTAGTTGTGCCCGAACGAGTTTTTGTCCATGAAAGTTTAGCTTGTTTACAATTCTAATAAAAAAAATAATAAAAAAATATCTCTATTATAAATACCAATTCGTATTCTTTTTAATGTTCTCATGAGATATGCCTGCGAAGTGTTATTCTTTGTTTTCGAATATAAATATAGTTTAAGTTTGGTGTACAATGGATTTTAAAAACGACGTTAAGCTTACAAAGTACGTAGAATATTCAACAAATTAAACAATTGGCAAGCGGGGTTTAGAATTTAGGTTACAAAATAATAGATATATCTTATGAATTGTATTTAGTGAAAAGGCAATTGTACGTGCTTATGGACAATGGCATTTAATATTGAAGAAAATGTCTCACTTTCAGTTTGGGTGATTTGGGTCCATTTCCTGGAAATATCTGTTCTTCAACTTGTGTCCTATTGAAACTTGAAATTAATAAAAGAAGACCAACAAAATAAAAATAAAAAAAAATAGTTATGTTATGGCTGCTGTGAATGATGATTTTCTTTTTTTCGCCTGAATGATTCGGTTATTTTTATTTTTAAATATATTGTTTTTAGTAATAAAATTTTAGAGACTCATTAATTGGTTTCATTTTATATCAAACATTGCAGAGCACCGCATTCCGACAGATCCGAAGTTCAAACCGGTGAAACAGAAACTGCGCCGGTTAAGACCTGAGTGGGCTGAAAAGGTTCAGAGTTTTGAAATTTTGAAATTATTTTTTATTCAAATAATTTCCAGAGACATATATAAAAATAAAAAGTCAAATTCCAACAAAGTCAAATGAAAAAAATATTCAAATAGACACTCCGAATATTTCAATGTTATAACTTATAATTTCAGTTGAAAAATTCAACTAACGTCAAACTAATTAAAATTTTCAATTGGTACTCTAGTTGAATTTGATGATCTCGATGATATTTTTGTTGTATAAATTTTAATTGAAATACACAATTTTTGTTGGAATTGTTTCCATTAATAGTTCCAACTATTGGAAGATCATCAATGATAGAAATTTCAAAGGCAACCAATTCCAGTTGGAACACTGAAATGGTCGTTGGAATTTCAAATGCATATTATAATATTGAAATCACCATTGAAACTTGATAATTTACTGTTGATAGAAATTTATTCCCATAAGGATGATCTATAATACAACGATACATAAAATAACACACCAATTATTTCCTCATTTATAATATTTTGATGATTAACTTATTCCGTTTGATACAACTTATGGCATGATTGGTATGACGGAATGGAATTTCGTAGGAATGGAATGAATTGCAGAATGGAATGATTATGGAAATGGAATGAAATATGTTTTGTCATTGATGCGTATAGTATGCAGAAAGAATAGAACTGAAATGGGAATGATATTATTATTTTATATTATAAAAATAAATAAAAGTTTTTTTTAAAAAATAGTATACTTTTAATAAATTATATATAAATGATTTTTCAATAATATATAAAAATACAATAATATATTTTTAATAATATATATAATTAAATTAATATATTTTTAAAATATATATAAATGTTTTTTTTAGTTTTATTTTTTATCTAAATATAAAAAGTAATATATTTTTAATAATATATATTTTTATTATTTTTCAATAATATACTTTTAATTATTTACTAATAATAGTAATATATTTTTAATAATATATAAAAATAAAATAATATATTTTTAAATTATATATAAATACTTATTTTAGTTTTATTTTTATATAAGTATTTAATATATAAAACATAAATAAAAGTAAGTTTTCAATTTTTTATTTGAATTTTTTTAAAAAAACAATTTTATTTAATATATTTTAATCATGATTCATAATATATATTATATATTTATTTTTTATTATTATTTGTTAATTTTATTTTTTAAAAAATTGATTCTTACACAAATGGAAATTAGAAAACCTTCTATTTACTATGGAATGACTAATCCAATGGAGATGGGTTTCGTCATTCCTTCCCAAAAAATATAACAATCATGGGATAAGGAATGAGTAAGAGAATGATCATTCCACTCATGTCATTCCTTCCTACCATGCCATTAAATGCGTACTATATCCTATTTTGATTATTATTTTTGTCAAGTAGCAGTTTTATTGATAACAGTCTTATTTCGTAATTTTCATTTTCATTATGATTCTTAATTTTTCATAATCTATCTTACGTATGGGCCGCAAAATTTAAAATTAATTCTAGAGCGAATTATGGGCCACAAATCATTCGTGGCCCAAACCTTCATTTTGAGAGGCCTAATTCGAAGCCCATTCCTATAACTTCAAATATTTTATGCTATTTCCCTAATCTCTGGCCCGCCAGATGGCACAGATCCGTGCCTACTGCCTACACATTCGCAAAGATGAAATCTGTTGATCCTTGACAACATATCATCTCAATCTTAATTTATAGTCTAATAACTTTTTATCATTGACCAAAATACACTTTAGTTATTAATGATAAAAGCTGAAGCCCAAATAAAAAGAAAGGATATATTACTCTTTCTATCTCTAACTATTGAGAGAGTATATTCACAAAAATATTATTACTCTGGTACATTATTCATAGTTTGAGAACATGACAACCGCATTTTTTTAATTCTGTATGATGTATCATACTAATTTATACAAATGCTAGTATATACTTGTTGCTTTATAATTCCTAGCACCAAATACAATTAATTATAATAATACACACAGTTAAAAATAGCAATTCTGAAGCTAAAATAAGCAGCTAAGTGGTGGATTCATGACGAGGGGAAAAAATTATTGAATAATTATAATGCAAGAAAACAAAAAACAAAGGGGTGGCCTATAGAAAGAGCCCACTAATCATGAGTCCTAACAAATGAGAAAAGGAAAATAAAATGTCTTTTCCTTTAAGAAAAATCCACCAATGGGGCACCTCTTGATGTCTTACCCAACAACCAATTCAGTTTCACTTCACTATATATACCAGTCTTTAATATGCACATTAATTTTATACATATCACATAGTTTCCTCCATAAGATTTTTATTTTCTTTGTCACACCCTTTAATCTGAAAANNNNAAAAATGGGACATGATCTTCTCAGATTCTTGATAACATTTACTTGCACTTTTAATATATTACTAATTTCTTCATCCCGATTTGCGTCGTGCATCAATGCAGGATGTAATTTTTCTCAAGGAAGTTGGATATTCGATGGTTCACAACCGACGTATAATGTTTCGATTTGTTCTTTTATTGAGAAACAATTCGACTGCATAGGAAATGGAAGACCCGACAATCTCTTCTTGAAGTATAGATGGAAACCAAGTGGATGTGAGCTACCCAAGTAAGTAAATATCATTAGGAATAGACTAAAAATTTAAAGTAAAATACACACATATATTAATATAGATCATAGAGTCAAGATAGATACTTTAACTTCAATAATTTGATCAAAATAAGATTTAATTATGCAGATTTGATGGGCAAGATTTCTTGAGGAGGTTCAAAGGGAAGAAAATAATGTTCGTCGGGGACTCTCTAAGCCTCAATCAATGGCAATCTCTTACATGCATGTTACATGCAACTGTGCCCAAATCAAGATTCACCTCAGAAAAAATTCGAAACCTCTCCACATTTTTTATACCGGTTATTTGTTTTTTTTCGTCGTTAATTCTCAATAACTATAACGTTTAATTTATGTATTACAAAAATATTGCTACGTATATAAGGCTTGATTTGAGAATTTATTGTATATAATGAGAGGAAATTTATAATTTTTATTTTATATCAATATGCAGGACTATAACATCTCATTGATGTTGTCTAGAAATGCATTTTTGGTTGACCTTGTAGTTGAAAAGAATCTCAGGATTTTGAAGTTGGATTCAATCCAAAATGGCAATTCATGGAATGGGTTTGATATGCTTATATTCAACACGTGGCACTGGTGGCTTCACAAGGGAAATCAAAAACCGTGAGGAAATCCTTTGATATAGTAACTAATTGTAGCATAGAAAAATAGTATGATTAAAGAACTTGACATGTCACT